AGCTAAAAGAACAGATGCACAAAAGCTAAGAAAAATAAAAACTGATTTACAATACTGAACATCTGCCTTGTCTGAAATATTAACACAGCAGTTTCACCAGTAGGATAATCCACAGCTGACCAAATCTGTGACTCCCAAAAATTACCTCAATGAAAAAAATCTAATAACGGACACCCCTCATTGTTATAAYGAAGTACAACAGTAAGTCTGTCCTAACAGCAGCATTACAAACAGGAGCTCTACTAAGTAATTTTAGGCAATAGAAGCTGCTTGCCATTCTTTTGCTCCACTTGTCAGGTAAGTAAGCACAAGAATTCTTATTCTCATGCAAAGGCTTCCAGTCATTATGGTAATGACCCATTTATTAAAAGAGGTTATAAAAATCAGTCAGTGAAAGATGAATAGTTTTTTACATTCTTCAACACATAACTTCTTTGATTTATAGAAGCCTTTCTGTAAAAGGAAACTGAACTATAGTGTAAACACCCACGTGTCAGTTAAATTACAGCATAGTACTTGAAATATGCCTACAGCTTATCTTCTAACTATGCAAAAAAAAAAGGCTGATAGTACAAAAGATTAATTCAAAAATCARTAAAAACTACAAAACTGTTTTCTATTAATTCCAATAGGCTTAGTGTAATTTCAGGTAAGGATTCAGCTACAGTTTTATCTGGAGTACTGTGCTGACAATTATATGAGTTTTTCTTACAGTTCAGACTTGCATGTTAAGAAAATACACATTAAACAAAATTTATTAGATATAAAGATACTCTAAATTTCATCCCTATGTTGCTCATTCAACTGTCGAGAAACTTCTGCATACTAATGATCTCAAATCTCCCAAGGAAAACATCCCTGAAGTTACTAGAATATAGTTACTTGAATGACAAAATTATAGCAGAAAAAAAGAAAGCAATTTTCATAAAAAACTCTATTTGTATATAAAACCTAAATAAACTTAAATAATGAYGAGACCAAAATAAGCCACACCTTTAAACTAATTTAAGAGCTATTTTTAATAAGTTTGAGATCCATTTCCCTAAAATACTAAAAAAAATTCAAAAAGCCCAAAGTACAGAAAATACATCTTCTTTAAGAAAGGTTCTTCATATTTTTTTTTCCAGACAAACACCTACATGTTACTGCACATTCACAGGCATTTCAAAAGCCATATTTAAGAGTAAAGTTACAATTATGCCTTCTTTATGAGCATATCCTCTGCAAAGGAATACAGTTTTGAAATGTTAATTCTTATCCATGCAAGTCAAAACCACTTTTTATTAAATACAAGGAATTAATACTCTCAGTTCTAATGTCCTGTGTATAAAAWTTGAGTATTTATCACATTTCATGCCTATTTTCTCCTTGTTCTCTCAATGAGTAGAACTATAAAAGATGCCTCTGATTTTTTTTTTTCACTCATGRCATCTTCATCTTCATGGCATTCAAGACACAAAACAGCATGGCTTAGAACAGATATTATTAATACATATATAATAAAAAATACTCCAAGCTACAAGGTCATTAGAAAAGCAAGAAAATGGGATACTATAAAAATTCATAAATAGACTTAGTAGATAAATATTGGCTGGAGATAAGGGAATACCAAAAAACCATACCATTTCAAAATGCTACTTTTTGTCAAGGATGCCCACAAGATCAGTAGAAGCACAAAGACCTCTGTTAAAAAGCGTTTGAGGGCAAGATAATCTGTAATCCCAGTAACATTATCTTTACTTGCTTTCAGGAAGACATTGCCAGAAAATAACCTAATTTTCTTCTAGAAGTATTCAATCACATATTAATGCCCCTCTCTCCCCCTCTTGCCATCTCAAATCAAGTGGGATTTCACAGGGGCTACAGGAATTTTATCCTTTAAGTTGCAGGCTATTTCACACTAAGTGTAAGTCAATTTGTAGCACCAACTGTGGAATTCATAGTTCTTCTCTGTGAAAATGATAGGGGTTTTACAGAAAATAATGGTTCTGCTTTCATGACTGGAAAGGAGTATTCGGAGTGCAATTTCCTTTTCATCAATCGCTTCTGAAACCATAGTTTAGTAGTCGCTTGCTGTTCATACACATGTATACATGTAAACATGATAAGAACAAGGGGATGAGCASTTTAGTACAATGAAATGAAAAATGCACAATTGTAAAGCTATCAGCCAAATGACAAGAAGTTTGTGTGAATAAATAAAAACAGCTAAGGAAAAGACTTCTTCATGTAACAAAGCCTGCAAACGTGAATTTTTAGAGACTTAAAAGACAGAATGCTTCRGACAATTGTAACTGCTATTATGGTGCATAACTGTGTATCAGAGAAACCTCCTATCTGTTCACAATTACTTGTATTTTGTATTTCAAATTTCTTCCAGCARCTGAAGCTGTTTTTATACTTCCTACAACTTGCACACTGAAGATCACTTCATTCAATCTATTTTCCCTCTGACCAAATTACAACCACTGWTCATAAAGCAATACTGTCTGTATAGACAGACATAAGATTTTTTTACTATCWCCTGTTTTACACAGGAGGTTTACATACTTGCTTCCTGAATTCATCAAGTCAACTTTYCAACACTATGTTTTCAACTCTTCATGAGACAAAATTATTTCAGTCTATGCTTGGCAGTAAACATACATGTCACAAAAAATCAGTAAACTAAAACCAATCGTTGCACATTACATGAGAACAAAAACTACAATACACTGCAACTTTTTCCCTGAAAATCATAGGCCAAATAACTTCCTGGGCTTGAGGACCCAAACCCTACAAAGACGGAAAAAGAAACTGCCGCCAAAAGATGAGGAATCAGCAATTTTTTTTTTTAACTTCTACGTAGATAGGAACAAAATTGCTTTCTTCATAATGAGCCTTTGCCACAAAACCCATTAAAATAAGCCTCAAGTGGGTGCCTAAGAAAGCCTCAAAAAGGAGCTTTCAAGGTTCTGTGCTGGGAGAGGTTTTCACTTTTGAATAAAAGCAGATTACTGCAAAAAGAAAGGACGTCTATAATGAAGTTCTTCATAAATATTGATGATGCTTAGTAAGTCACCATCTCTATCTTCATGATTCACCCTAAAGGTCAACTCAAATTCACACAAGAATCAGAGAGATGACTCTTTCTTTCAATACTTCAGTAAGGCATCAAAGAAAGAGGTAAAAGTTTTTGGAACTGGCAAATAGGGTTAAAAGACTGAATGGTATCTGAGTAAAGCAGAGTAAGTTTGACTTGACTATGTTATTACACAAAACATAATTCCCACAGTTCTTATTCAGTAAATAAAAAGGTAAACAAGTTACATTCACTAAGAGACTTTCCTAATAAATATTCGAATATGGGTTCGTACCTCTGAGGAGCACTTGCCTGATTTCTGCAGTCTGAACCAGAAATTCCACTTTATTCTTATCTCCACTACGCAGCTCCTTTGCAATTTTAGGAAGTTACACCTTTATAATCACACATAGGTACCGTGACAACCGTGTGGGYTGTCATGCCCCAGTAGTAAGGCACTTAAGATCTCAGCTTTCCACTCATCAGCTATTTCRTAATGCTAGTGCAGGATATCCTGACAATTTATAAATACTTACCAAAAAACACCCATACTTCATATTCTGATGACTTTCTCAAAATAGCAAGCGTATGAGACTCAAGATTTTGATTACCTATCTACAACTTTATTTTCCATCTATGMAGAGAAATTGACAATGTTGTGTCTCTACAAAGAGCAATCTCTGAAAATTCCTGGTTGCAAAGCATTCTTAGTACAACACCAAAAAAATTTCTACATTAATTGAACATAATACAAACTATGTCTCACCAGATGTAGTCTTTAAAGAGCAGCAAAAAATTTTGAAAGCTACCTGAGAAACACTGTCCAGTCAGTGCAGAAATGTGCATATAATACTGAATTTTAACTATAAAGTAATAATAAAGTAAATAAAAAGTAGTAAAATTCATCAAAATACACACACATATTCAAGGTACCAAAATCAAAGTGGTATGGTACATGTTCATGCGGTATTCCCTTTCAGAGACTTCATACTAAGTAACACTTTATTTTGGTTTAAGCACAACTAAAATCACTGCTAGAAATTCCAGGCTGCCTTTGCTAAAAAAAACCCAAACACACATATAGAAAACCACTGTTAGCAGTTCACTCCTAAAATAAGCTTCTACATTAGTAAAACAATGGGAAAAATAGTTAATCGTGCAACCTACTCTAGGAATAATTTCAAGGAAAAAATGCTGTAAGATTTTTTTCCTAGGTTATAGCTGATTTAGAGAATACCTGTACTCACTTTACTAGTGTAAGAAATTTCACRTCTTCCTAACTTATTTGCAGTTTTATATGCAGTTTTGAGGAAGGCACAAAAATATATGAGAACTTTTAGGTATTGCTCACCTATAAAAACAAWAAGGTGACAATTGGATCATTCAGGCAACCATCATAAGAGTACTTCTGGTGTAAAAGCACCATGGGGAGTGAAATCAGAAACGCAAATAATAAATTGCATTTAAAGTTAAACTTTTTCCAGAGGTGTTTAAAAGGCTTAAAACTAGTAAGCAGCAATATATACAAGTGAAGTCAGGTAAAACTGAATCTGAAGCTAATTCAATATCAAAGCAACTTTAATTAAAAATACGTGAATASTAGATTAGCAGTTTGGAGATGTGCTGTGTTTTCTCAAACAGTATGTACTGGGAGTAGTTTAATTACTTAGTTTAAGGTATACCTATATGCAGACAAATGCTGTGATAGCTAAGATTTAATAAATAGTCAGGACTTCATATACTTACTTAAAAAGAGTAGAAAAAAAAAATGCTAGAATATTGTAATTTATACATTAATCCACTAACTCATGGGGCTTTTTTCTGCTTTAAGTAGCTAGGAACACTTTATTAAACAGAATTATATCCCAAAATAGGAAAACTTCAGCTAAAAATTTACTCTGGATAACATCACAGTAAAATGCATTACACTGCTTTTTACCTCCAGATCCTAGCTGCTTGTAGAATCTGTATTCCAAATGTAGCTGTGGTGCTCTCGACTTCATTGGCTCCTGATTTAAAAACAAAAACAACATTTAAAACAAAGCCTAAAACCTAATACACTAACCTATTACCAGCCAAACTTGCCCTACAGCTTCCAAGCTACACAGAAAGTTTGAATGTTTCTTCTGAAATGACTGGCAATAAAGCAACAGAGAAAATTAAATCTCTCTCAGRTGAGACTAGTGCATACACACGCACTTACATTTTGTATTGATCCACTAGACCAGGTTCAACATGCAAACCAAGTGACAGACATACAGTGGAATAGCTAAAAAATAGTATGTTTCTCCAAACCATGTAGATGATACATATTTCTCAGAAAGCAGCATTAATATGCAGCTTAACAGATTAAAAAGACTGTCCAAATACCTAATACATGATAGATGTATCTTTACAAAAATATAGTTTTATCCTAGGATYTTTTAAAAAAACAGAATCCTTCCACCAAATAGGAACAGCTTAGCAGAAATGAAGTATCACCATTTCAAACAATAAATCCAAAAAAGCAAAAAAAAAGCCCCAGAATAAGTTCATAGTTTAAATTAATATAAATTCAATAATTTATATTAAATAATTAAATAATATATTAAATGAACTCTTATTTCTGTGTTCAACATGCCAGAGTCAGGGTCTCAAAGAGAGAAATGAAGTGACGTGAGGTTAAGCACAGGAACATACATGCAGACTAAATGGAAACGCAAACTTCTTGAGTAACTCCCTTTGCAATGAAACATACTTTACCACAAGATTCTTGAAGTAAATTCCTAGGGCATATTTTAAAAGATAGGCCTTATTTCTTGTGATATGTAACATGATCTTAAGATTAAGTTCCACCAGGGGAGATTTAGGGTGGACATCACAGGGAGTTTCTTCACAGAAAGGGTGCTTACACATTGGAATGGACCGCCCAAGCAGGTGGCGAAGTTATCATCACTGGTGTTTAAGGAAAGATTAGCCAKGGCACTGAGTGACATGCTGACATGGTGGAGTTCAGTCAGAGGTGATACTCAATGCTCTCTGAAGTCTTTTCCAGCCTAATCTATTCTGTGATCTTCCAAGGCCTCAGTGATAATTTGGACACTAAGTGAGTATTATTACTACACATCGTGTAGTAATACAGCCTGTTACTATTACAACTGCAGCACATAGCAATAACTGATACAGCTGGATATCAATTTTCAGGAAAAGTCTTTTTCCTCACATTATCATTTTCAAAAGCTATGAGTATAAACTTGTGCTGTTTTTTAATGTCACATCCAGGGCATAAAAACTATGAACCAATATGCACTCATGAGAAATTTAGTCTTCTTCCTCAACTCATCTCCCTCCAAAACTTAGATGTTTCCAACTGCTGACAAAGTCCCTGTCAGTGTACATCTATGCATTTGATCTTGCCAGGATGCTAAAAGTGGATGCCTAAAAGTAAAGAAAGACCAATGCAACACTTTCTGCAAAAACACAAACCGAATTTACTGTATGCTTTTTATGCTCCAGTGCAATTACCATAACTGAACCTTTACATTCTTTGCAATGAAGTGAGCAAGAATTCTCTAAAACAAGARAAGTGTTTACTATTCAAAAAATTAGTTACTAAAGAAGACTAACTAGGCCACYAAAGGCCTAGTTACAGTTCATTAGAAGGACACATGATATTTATGGTCAAGTATTGAAGACAGATATTCCCTAACAAAACACTTCAGTGTAACATGAGCAAAAGCAAATCAGTGCAACTATCAATCTTTAGTACTCAAGAGTTAAGCGTGGGAAGAAATCCACTAGGAAGAATTTACTGAAACATTTTAACCTTTTAGGAAACTACAGAAACTTGGCAATTAGTTTGCTTGCGGTATACAAGTCTGTTAGTTACAAAATACACCACATTCTACGTAATGCCTAATTAAAACACATGATTATGCCAGCTAAGAAGAAAATAYTTTAGTCCACAAAACTCTGCGTGTCTCCTGATTACAATAATACAAGATACTGGCCTAGAGGAAGTTTATTTTTGTTCAACTATACAGTTTTGTCGCAACTGATTTGTACATTAACTTAACCCCTCAATGTTGTAACACGGTTCCATAAAAGGGATAAATCAAGTTTACTTGGACATAAAAAAAAATGCATAGGGAAAAGAAATAGCTTGCAATTTTTGACACACAGATCATCTTTTTCATGAATGCCACTTATTTCAGACATCAGCAATAATCAGTCCTGATAAATCTACAGAAGGTAATGTTCTTAAACAAAGAAATCTACYAAACAACTAAACACAGCCAAAGACTGAAGCTAAACCTTGCTCAGGAGAGACAAACACTTTTATTCCCTTAATTAAAAGTGAAAAAATGTGGCAGTATGTACTTGTAGCTCATTTATTGGATGACAGTCTTTAGGAATTGCCTTATTTTTATAGGAAGGCTTAGATATCTTCCTGTAACTCCAAAGATGCAAAGGGATTACATCATCTTACTCAATAAAACTCTTTAAAGGGCAAGCACAATAATCTCTTCACATACAATTATTTCTGCACATCCTGCTCTACCATATGCAATAACTACTCAAAAATGAGAAAGGACAGATAAAGATATATCAAGGCAAAATAATGTAAAATGTAATCTTTCACCATAACATAACAGGGAAGAGCACACTCCTGTATCTACAAGTCTAAAAAGAAAATTCAATAATTAAAAAAATGGCAAATTATGATTCTTTAGTTTCATTACTGTTTCAGTACATTTCAGCATCTAAAAATAAGCATGGGAACACATAACTGTTTAAACATCATGTTAATCCCAGAGTGCCTCAAAGCCAACTTCTCCTCTTACCAAAAGAAATTAGTGCATTTTCTTTACTTAAATAAGCCCAGGTCTTCACTGAGGTATATTGAAAGAATTGTTCCGGGATATGCCAAGTTCTCTAAAGTACTCTCCCTAGATTGCTTTTACATTCACATCTAATTATTTCAAAGCTTCAGTATTAAATCACACACAGACTATCTTCCCTGCAAAAGACTCTCTGTCTCTAAATGAGGAATATGGGGTCTTGCTGCCATCAAAGAACTAATATACAGTTTACTGAGCCCCAGTTGTCTGAGTGAAACAACTACTCCTTCGYTTGTCAGAGAGGTTTTTCCCCTCTTTTTCTTTTGTGGGATACTYATACAATTAAACAAAAGGACAAAGACACCTGAAATTTGAAATCTGTTTCAATTACATAAAGAATTATTTTCGTAATTATTTTGTTCCCATATACATGAAACAAATTACTATACAATTTTCACGTTGTTTCCCGTTAAGGGGCTTTGAAAAAGCTGTAAGCTAAGTTTATTTGAACTGTAAGGTTAGAAATTTTCAAGAAGTCTGATAACCCAAAGCACAATATAAACTATCAGCTATTACTCACTAATCACAGTTTTAGTAATTCAGTGAGAACTCAACTCAGTTTATGTCCTGTCTCTACTTCACACATTTATAAGCAATGGCAAACCGAAGTTATTTTCAGGGAAAAAAATTCTTTAATAGGTAGGCTCTTGTTACAGTAGAAGACAAGTCTATTAAACAGATTTGTGTAGATTTGCATTTACCACAATTTCCCACAGAAATTCTGAAAAGGTGTCATTCTAGACCAGTTATTCCTTAAAAACAAAAAATGGTTCACACACACACATCTCACTTATCATTTTAACAATTCAAATCTTAAGAATGGACAAATGAATCCATGAACTAAAGATTACAATTTAAAAGGCAGCAATGACTGCTTTGTAACCTCCTATCTTCCACCCAAAGAAAGAAAAATTGACATATTTCCAGAAGCAGTCCTGCAGAAGACTAAGCACATCCATATTTTGTCTCAAACATTCTGACTGTTACATGAGGGAAAGTGTGATAAAAACAGAGGGTCCAGTGGAGATGGATTAGTGCTGTTCTGGGCCAGCTTCCTGCACTGCTCAGTCCCCCCAACSGACTTCCCAGAGGAGGGCTCAAAGGGCTGCCAGTGGATGTGCAAACAAAACAATGTGGAAAGTGTTACRTAAGAGGCTGCACCAGGCTAACTATAAAAGGAAGCACATCAGGCCTCCTCTCTCTCTTTTTCCGTATCTTTCCCTTTTTATTTCACTATCCCAGCTCCAGATCATCCACACAACAGGACCAACTTCATGAATGAACAGATCAGTGAACTTCTTTGCTCTTTTTGTCTCTTTTCTACTTTATTTTTCTCTCATCTCCTGCTTTGCCTCGACAAAGCAGAGCTATCATATTTTTTCCCACACTGTAAAAAATGAAGGACTTGTTAGCTACCACTTTTGAGAAGTGTAAGAATCCAAGGGCTTGCTAGCCAACACTTTTTGAGTCTAATAGTGGGTAGTTGCCAGAGTTATGACAACTATATTATAAAGCACAAGAGCTCCCTAATGTGTGGTCTGGTGTATTTGTTTAGCCAAATAAGAATTTACAACAAATATCACAACTACCAATGGGTTATAACAATGAATTGGTTTAATGGACAGGACTCTTATGAGAGCTGAGCCTCACATCACAGACCCTCTTATGAGGCTGAGAGGGACTGAAGAGCTCTTGAGCTATTTATAGCTGGGATGGGCTCAGACAGCTCCATCTCTGGGCACAGGATGCATCAGGAATCAGGAGGAGCAGGACATAACAGTCCAGGAAATGCACAGCATGAACCCCTTTCCCATTATGGACAATACTTTCCCTACACTCATCTTCATATTTGGAACGTACTGTGTGCCATGCTGAYGAAAACACAAAAGGATAAAAGGATTCATGACTCCATACTAGAATGCCTAGATAGAGAGCAAAGAGAGACATTTCTGTAAAATTTGGTTGACTCCTTGCAAAAACATTTGAACAAAGAGCAAGGTGAGACAGACATATTTTTAATAAAAATATTTAGATAGCAAAAACAGAGAGAAATTATTACAAAATTTTGTTGACTCTTTGCAAAAAACATTTACAAGTCTACAAAAACATCGGCAAGATTTGGCTGACCA